AACCAAGTTAGGTTTCAATAAACTCAAATAATGGCGATAAAGAAGTCGAACAAAGCGGCCTTGTCTCAAGCAGCGACTCTAAAGCAAATCTTGAAGAGATGCTCAAGTCTTGGAAAGAAGAATCAAGGTAATTGCTACTTCAACGACGTACCAAAAGGCCATTTCCCGGTCTACGTTGGTCAACACCGGAGTCGATATGTGGTCCCAATCGCATGGCTAGCTCATCCTGAGTTTCAGACACTTCTCCAACTAGCCGAGGAAGAGTTTGGGTTCGAGCACGACATGGGTCTAACTATCCCTTGTGATGAAGTCGTCTTTCGATCTCTCATCTCATTGTTCAGATAAAACTCGATATCGAGAGATGACTGATTAATTAGCTCAAGTTGGTCATCTCTTGAACCTTTAAGGTTTCTAAGGGTTTCACATTGTCACACTCTAGACTCGGAAGGAAGATAAAAAAGCATCAACGTCAAGAAAATCAAGAAACAAGAAATAAGGAAGATATATAAATATATTATTTAGGGTTTTTTTTTTTTTTTTGCTGAGAAGACAGCAAATGGCGAAGATCGCGTTAAGCATCGACTCAAGATTTGTGGCTATATTAATATATCTAACAGTTTTTTAATTAACCACTCTCTTGAGATTTTTTTCCTTTTTTTTTCTTATATATATTTTTCGGTGTCTTGTTTGTATTTAATTTGAATATTTTGTATATTAGTTTGGGTGGGGGACTTTTCCCTCAAGTCAACGTGTATTGTTGACCGTTCGTTCTTAAGAGGAATAGCTAGTTTATTTGTATAATTTTGAATCATGAAATTTTATTTAGTTTGAGTACTAAGTTGTTATTTTCTTGTACATACAGATTTTCTATTCATCCTAAAGAAACTGAACTTTAAAAAACTAAAAATGATTGATTAAAAATCCAGTTTTTATGAATTTAATTAATACGAACCGAAAAAGCTGCTTTTATTTATCTCATAATAGAACATGCAATAAAATAAAAATGGCATATTTGCAAAATTTTCACTGTTTATCAACCATAATTGGCCAAACGCCAACGATTTACCATTTGTGATTCCAGTCTTGTTTCTACTACATCTGATACCATTTCATAGTACCATAGCTCAGTATGTACGAAGCCAGAAATAATCAAAAGAATGATCAATCAAACGATGATCAACAAACTCTTTGCTCTAAAGTCTAAACCAAGGTTTTCGTCCAAATGGGAAACAAAGACTCTC